TCCATGTTTACAGGAAACCAACTCAGCATTACAGATATCGCAAACATCAGTCTTCATGTCAGCTCGTAGAGTTACCAGTTTCCAGCAAATGCTCTGCCTTGGAGGAGCCATTGTACTTTAGCTGGCAAGTAATTATTAAGTAATCAAAATGGAGATGAAGATTTAATTTATCGTAGGTTAATGGTTTGAAGATGATTATAAAACTGTAAACGTCAAAGGACCAAAGTAAGTCTGAAAAAGAAAGCAATGTATCAGAGAAAGCAGTTGATTTTCTTCATAAACGTATAGTTTATCAATGAGTTGTAATATTGTACCAAAGCATGTCGTACATACACGATACGAAATACAATCTGGTATTTAAAATGCGTTGGTAAAATCTTCCAACTCGGTTGCTTCCTGAGAGGTCAAACTACACGTTTATGAAAATAGATCGCGCGATGCTAGGCCTATGACACTGTGCAGATGCACTGCGAAGCAAGTTTAATAAACTGGATAGATCTACAGGATGCAGCACGCTTCCGATTGTGTTCTTCTAGATCAGTTAATTTTGTGATAGTAGGTCTAGCCTAGGCCTAGGCTACAAGTTACAACACCCATACAGGATGACGTAGCACAGTGCCGTGAGCTAGGCTCCCCTCTCTCGCCCGCCCTGCAGCGGCGCTTACTCTGCGAGGCAAAGCGTAACTGTTACTTCTTAACACATATCTCGTGTACAGATAATCTGCTTTCACTCTTAGCGTGGAACAATGAGCTCGTGACACTGTGCGTGCAGTGTCTAGGCCCTTGTGTCTAGTTATTACTTACATTTTTTTTATTGTGTATTTAGGCCTAGTATTTAGATCTAGGCTACGACGATATAGAACGCAATACAGATCTACATTAGTGATCTATATCCTTCATCCTATATCGGTGTGTTGTAGATATATAGACCGTTTTGAATCAACGACCCAGCACTTGTTTACATTGGTTACGATGCAAGGCTACTCGGGCGGTATGTCTAGCCAGGGCCTACTAAAATTAATATATTTTAGCCGAGAGAGAGAGAGAGAGAGAGAGAGAGAGAGAGAGAGAGAGAGAGAGAGAGAGAGAGAGAGAGAGGGAGGGGGAGAGAGAGAGAGAGTATTTAATGAATAAACGTAGCCTATCTAGATCGAATGACCGAAGGGTGACTCTTGACAAGCGGTATGTCTGTGAATTGGCGGAGACACTCTAGATCTATATCAACATGCAACTTGATTCACACTATCATATCAACAGTTTATAGATCTAGATCTAGATCTAGATCTACTTAAGCTTCTGTGCTTGTTTCAATGACTTCTTTTTCGGTGCACCTGTACAATTGTGGTCACGTTTAATGTTTACACGACGGCCATTATTGTCATGTGGGAGTGAATCTAGATCTAGATATCTCTAGATTCTATCTAGATCTAGATAGCCAAGATAACCTATATCTAGATCTAGATAACTAGATCTATTTAGATCTAGATCTTCATAGGAGGAGGAGGAGGAGGAGGAGGAGGAGGAGGAGGAGGAGGAGGAGGAGGAGGAGGGGGAGGAGGAAAAGAAGAAGAAGAAGAAGAAGAAGAAGAAGAAGAAGAAGAAGAAGAAGAAGAAGAAGAAGAAGAAGAAGAAGAAGAAGAAGAAGACTGATCTATAATTTTAATTCAGTTTAGATCTAGATCTAGATTCTCGATATCTATAATCTAGGCCTAAATCTAAATAAGAAACACATACAAATTACCACAGGGGACTCAGGCCTTGAGTGACTTAGTGCACACGGGACCGCTATTGTACAGGAGTGTCATTGTTTCCTAGCTTCAGTTCATGGTCATTCATTCTGACATATTGGGAACATTGCTCTCTGTGTAGTTAATCTAGATCTAGATCTAGTCAACAGTTATACTGCTGGACTCTAGCAGTGGCCTTTTCTTCTTCTTCCTCGTTCTCGATGACAGCAGCTAGACAGTCAGTCCGATGTCGCGTACAAACTGTGTAGTTCGCTTCAACTCGGAAAGACTGCCATAATATAGCCCTTCGAGGCAGAGGGCCTGGCACTTCATCCGCCTGGCGGGATTCCACAGATGAAACGCCACATCGAAAATCTTGTTTGGATCCTGTCATCATAATGAGACTTGCGTGAGGCGGTTTGGGCAAGCCGGACTGTCGGCACCTTTTGGTCCACCCCTCCGTCTTCTGCGTGCTTTTCTGTCTAGGAGTGCTCCCATATCCTATAACTTTCCTGGGTTTGCCTGCTAGGCAGCAGGGGTTTTTGATCAGAGTTTTCCTTCTCCTAGATTAACTGCCATCCCTGGCTAACGAGTTCCATCGACCCGGGGTGTGGGGATATCGCGTTATTGTTATTTTTTTAGATGTTTTTTTTTTTTTTTTTTGGAGGGGAGGTTTTTTTCTGTTTTATTTTTCGTCTCTGGCTTCAGTACACGGATATGATTGACACCTTGAAACGTTTCCTTAAAAGCCGAAGGTTCAGGTGACTGGTGGTTACATTTACAATCCTTGCAAGACATGCTCCCCTTCCTTGCTGCTGCCGGGCACTCACAGTACACCAAGTCGGTCTATATCTACCTTCAGAAGATGAGACAGCTTGAAGAACAGCACCCATAAGTTTTCAATGCCTTCTCGTTTGACTTTCACGTTCTTGGTCGAAGTGATCGCTTCTGGGCTGGACTGAGTACTGACCTCGCCTCGTGATTGAGCAAGTCTTAATGAAAAACCCAAAATCTGCAGGAGGACTGACACGTGGTAGAGGCATGGGAGATATACAGAGAACACAGTAGCTCTTGTCCATGCCAGCTTGTGCTGATATAATATGCAATTAAATGCAGCGGGTTACTGATACAGAATTAAATACAAATCAACAACATATTGAAGTCAGTGATGCCAGACAAACGAGAGATGATAAAGATATGAGACTGCTCCTTAGTTTCCTAAAAAGATCGCAACCCCTTTGCCAGTGATAAGACATTACGGAATATATGCACAGGGGTGACAGCTCATTCCACAGTTAATGCCGACACTGCAAAAGATGTTGGCAAGGTTATTTTGTAGACCATGCAGGGCAAACCTGTGAAGGACTCCGCCTTCAAAAGAAAAGACCAAGTTGTTAGCATGGACACCAAAATCACTGCCAAAATGGAGGGTGAAAATATACAAAGCCAATCCTCAACTTCTCTTTCAGCGGATGATTACAGCAGCAAACGTTGACGATTATTAACTCCCATCTGTGTTGAAGTATGAACTGACGACTCCACCACCATCTCTCTTTGAACCATCAAGATTGATGAGAGAGGCACACAAATCCAAGCTGGCTGATTCGATGAGAGACCTCTTCAAAGCTGATCCACCATCGAAAGATGAGTACATGGACATGGTGACCATATTGGATGGGGGTTCACGTCTTCACAAAATCCCGTTTCCGTAATGTGTAATAGGTATGCTGAATATGTTAACAAGAAATATTCTAAGCCCATTGTGGTGTTTCATGGGTATGAGTCGGACCCATCAGTAAAAGATGCCGCTTTCCTCAGGCGTTCTACAGGTATGGTAGGACCAGCTGTTGTCTTCACCAAAGAAATGCCATTGACCTCAAGCAAGGAACACTTCCTTTCAAATCCAAGAAACAAACAGGAGTTCGTTCACCTCCTTAGAGGCACTCGGGTGGCTCTTGGTTGCCACTGTCTTCACGCTGCTGGAGATGCCGACACACTCATAGTAAAAACTGCCATGGAGTATGCAGCAACCCACCCTGTAGCTGTCATTGGAAAAGATACAGACTTGCTCGTGCTCCTTTGTCACCATGCACAGCTCAGTAGCAGGCCTATTGTCTTCAGCTCAGACAGAAAAGCTGGCGACAATCACAAAAGTTTAAACATCCAGAACCTGTAGGAGAAACTAGGTGAAGATACGTGTCATTTTCTTCATGCTGTCAAAGGCTGTGATTTAACTTCGAGACTTTTTTGGCTGGGAAAATGGTTCCAATGAGAAAATTGACAGATGCTCATTTTTGAAAGCGAGCTCATATGTTTTGCACACCCAGAAAAACTCAGGAAGACATCAATGATGCTGGAAAAAGAGCTTTAGTAAGTCTCTACAATGGCACTGCTGCAGACACCCTTGGCCAACTGCGTTACAAGAGGTTCTATGTAAGGGTTGCATCATGTGCCACATCCGTCCAAATCCAAAGCTTGCTGCCAACCAGTACTGCAGCCAAGTACCACAGTCTTCGGGTGTATCTTCAAGTGCAAGTAATATTCAAGACACAATGATGATGGCAGCTGCACGATGATCACTTAGAGCCATGCACGACAGATATGCCACCTGCCCCACATTCTCTGTTGAAGGTGATTAAGTGCAGCTGTAGAACAGATTGTAAGTCCACAAATTGTACGTGTCGTCGCCACGGACTGGAATGCTCCATTTCCTGTGGAGGTTGCATGGGTTTGACCTGCACAAATTGCCCATCACTTACTAAGGAAGATGACATCAGTCTCCTGGAGTTTCCTGACGGGCTTGATACTCTTGACTCTTGAAATACCGGACATGATGAACGTGCACGATCTAATCTACCGTTGTGAAATTCCATTTGCTGTGTTTGTGTTCCTATTTGGCCACCAAGCTTTTTCAATATTACATATTCAAACAGCATTTTTATCGAGCTTTCAAACGAGGTGCAACATGACTATGTTCTAAAACATATTTTTTATGAAGTTGACCCCGATGACGTTATGAGATAAAAATAGCATTTCCCATTAATGCGTGAATGTTAATTTTTATTATGTTGAAAGTGACCTAATTCTATGTACACCCCAATACTTTTTGTTTCTTTTGCAATATTTTCCTTTCTTCCAGTATTTTTGTCGTTCCTCTAGGGCTATAGGCTGAGGCTGTCGTCACGTGTTGTGTGTCCTGCACTGCAGACCCGCTGTTTCTATAGATGGCCCCAGAATTTTTTGGACTTAAATGCCAGTTTAGGAAAAAAACTTGAAACTTGTCATATCTTTTAAAACTGGTCCACAATTGCAAGATATGTGGAAAGCATGTCAATAAATTATGCTATAAAATGTGTTTCAAGATTTCCCCTCCTTGTGTTTCTTGTGACATGTAAAACGCTCAACCAAAGTTGTTAAATCAGCAATCGTTCATATCAGCGAGTTTTAACTTTCGAACACGCCAATCTGGGTACCGGTACTTTCGTTCGATTCCACGAACTTCACGCAACAATTTTTAATTTTAACAATGGCCTCTCTGTCTCATCGGTCTCACCGTCAAAGACAAAAGCCAACGAGTTATGGCTTGAGAATGCTGGATGCAGCTCTTCAAAAGCACAAGGCCCCTACTACTCATGGTAAGTAAACCCTAAAATGATCTTCACCTGTTGATATTGTAATCCTCTGTGTGTGTATGTGGGAGGAGGGGGTGCCTGGGACATGGATATTCTCCCGGGCAATCATGCAATGTGAGAATTATTACTGAGAATGTAAAAAAAGTAAGCCTAGATCTAGATCTAGATCTACGTTGATGTGGAAAGGTACCACCTTCACTTTTTTCTCAGTGGTCAGCAAAGTGATCGTTAGGTTGGTTCACAGATTCTGGGGCGCTTTTTCGGTAGTTCCCACCCCCCTTATTTGATAGAGCCTGACCTACATCTAGAATCTAGATCTAGATCTATATACGTTTGATTCGCGGCAAGCTAAGATGTCAAACCTAACAACTGCAAAACATTAAATGGCTGGATTGTACTTTACCGGACCACCCGTCTCGGCCCGTGATTACTACGCACACCTAGCCTAACTACGCACTCATAGTACTCTGCGCGAGGCGAGGTGAGCGAGAGGTGGTGGTGGTTGAGAGTGGGCAGGGGATTTAACTTTGGTGAACCACCGTGTATCATACCAACAGTGGGATGGGGGGGGGGTTCA